AACCATGTCTCTTCCTTGTGACATTTCAGTCCTGGGCTTTTAAGGATTATCCGGCTCAAGCATCCGTCACGGCGATGATGTTAGGGATGGGTACTCTTCAGTCTGCCATACTAGCACTTATCATGAACAAGTCCATTGCGTGGAGAGTGAATTCGAACTTCGAGTTATTCACTTGTGCTTATAGTGTAAGATTACTTCATATGGCCTTATTAAACAAACTCTGGTCGATTTCCTGTATCCTTAGATGAAACGGATTATTATGGCATCTAGATGCAAGCAGCATAACATATCTAAATATGTAGAAGTTCACTTTATCCTCGTTGTTTTTATAATTTTAAGCACAAAATTTACTTTTCAATAAATTCGAATTGGCAATATATGAATATCCTAGTAGATGAGGATAATGATAATGGGGAAAAGAGAAAGTACAAGTAGCACTAACAACATAAAGCCAATAGAACAAAACGAAATAAAATAGAGAAACACCAAGATTTAAATGGTTCATCGCTAATGGGACTGTATCTATAGGTGCACACAGTACATGATTTCACTATTGCCACCTCAAAAGTACTAGTTGGAATTGACATGAGAATTGTTAATTATAGAATCAAACATAAAAAGACCTTATATAGCATCTTAAACTCTAACTCAACCCCAAAGAAACATTTCTATATGTCAAAAATGTTGAGGATTGATGTTTTGTTTGCTGAGGAAATAGATCGGTCAAGCTGGAGTAAAAAAGACGACTCCGGAGGGCCGTCAAAAAGACGATTCGGATATATCCGTATATGGGATTCGATATATCTGGGACTTGATATATATTCGTACAAAGGTATTTCGATAATTTGTACCATATATCTGGGACTTGATATATATATCGTTGCGATTGTGGGTTCATCCAAAAGTTAAGGGTTAAGCAAAAAACGCAGATCTCTTTGTAATTAGATAAAAACAGAGAGGCGTGAGGAAGAGAAAGTATTGTAACCCTATTCTCAATTGCCAGTAAAGAAGCTCTAATCTCCCGTAGACGTAGGTACGTTGCCGAACCACGTATATCTTTACGCTGCGGTTGATTGTCTCTTTTTTTTGTGTTTGTTTCTTCTTTCTTATTTTTTGTGGTATGCTTTTCATTTCTACAAAAAATAGTCCCCTAATAGCCTCCTAACCCTGATAACCAGGGTTAAAGAGCTGAAAGGTTACTTATATACAATATAGATGGTAGAAATTCTATTATTTACAAAAATTCTGTTGCAAATCTGCATTAAAACATTATTTACTTTATTTTCTTTTATTTCTTGTGATTTGGAAATGATAAACACAATTATTCCTATTGTTGTAAATGTTTTAGTAATTATTTACTCTTAGGACAATCTTCACTATTGCATCACTGTTAGGACAATCTTCACTATTGCATCACTCTCAGGACCAACCCACATGTTTTGACGAGTTAATGTTCTCTGTCCAATGCAGGGTATTTTGTGCTCAGGTTTATCATTCTTTTTACTAAGTTGGTCCCTCAAAGAAAAAGGCCCGGTTTATACAGCGGCATTCGCTCCTTTGAGCACAGTAATAGTGGCTACTCTTGAACCCTTAACTCTTCGTGTGGATCTTCACATTGGAAGGTGAGTATATTGTTTTCCTGTGAGTTCTTTTCCTGAATCCCTCGAACTAAATATTTGGTAGAGATCAAATTAACAACAATCCATGGTCATTTACTTCTCAAAGAAAATTCTTGCTAGTGTGCCACAAGAAGCAAACTGTTGCATCGGCACATTTACCATCTCAGTGGAGTTCATGGTTTTAAACGTAGTATGGGTTTTGGTTTTGCAGCGTGGTCGGCATGGTTGTGGTATTTTGCGGGCTTTACATTGTGCTTTGGGGTAGAGCCAAGGATGACAATGGAAAGCAAAAGGTCTTGCCGACTCAAATTCGAGATGAATATTCTCAAACTGTGGAAGAAACTGAGGGGGAAATGAACGTAGTTGAGATGAAGGAAGTGGAAAAGATTGGAAACAAATGCAACATTGGGATTGCAGGACCCATCACTCTGCAAGTGCAACAATAGAAGAACTGAGATTATACATGAGAGAACAAAAAATCTGAACAAAAAAAACCAGCAGTTTGCATCATAGGGTGGTCCGACACCTGAAGAACACAAGGCCATGAGGAGCAACATATTTTGAGCGTTTATTACTTGTTCATTCATTTATGGGAAATCATCAAAATACCCATGTAAGATGAATTATTCAACATTATGGGAAAATCATGAAGATACCCATTTAAGATGAATTATTTAACATTTTGAAATGCCCATAAAAAGGCGTATGATTATGAATTGGAATAGTACCAAAAGTGTAAAATACTCAATAATACATCTCTCATGAGTATTTTATTCAATTTCCCTTCATTTATTAACGTATTTGAGTCCAAAACTGTGATAAATACGTATGAGTTTCCTATTTTGCAAAATCTTTCCATTGTACATAGTAATTCAAATTCCTAAATTGTGCTGATATTGATGAACGAAATTTGCTTAGTTCCCTATTTCGCTTATAACATTCGTGACTTTATAAGATGGTTCTCCAAAATGGATACGACTTTATAAGGTGGTTCTCCAAAATGGATACGAAGTTACTGAGGCAACTGAAGTAGCCAACGACTAACAAATAAAGCTGCAGAAACAAGAACTTTGAAGAAAATTGTAGAAGAAAGAATCAACATGGGGAACCGAGACTTCCGCCTCATACTATATGAACAAAGAGAAGATTTTTATAAGGTTGCAACCTTTAACAATCCAAGGCGCACCTCCAAATTTCATCATAACATGTAAGTTTGGTGAGAAACATTATTAAGATTATCTCAAAATCTATTTTGATATCTAATTATAAAATTTCAAATTCCTAAAATAGTTAAAATTAAGTAGATTTATAAACATGTAAAAATCTTGAAAATAGACGGTCTAGATAATGTATTACAAGATGCACGATTTTCGGGACTCAATTTTTTTTTCTTTTTCATATTCATACGATGATCGTGGTTTTTTCATCATTAAAACAACCTTTTTATATGGATTTTTGAGGTGCATGTGTAATTCTACATTTTAAGGTTGCAACTTTTGTCTCTTTCAGCTCTGCAGTTTCCAAAGCTCTATTCTCTCTCTTGGCAGGCATGGGTTCAAATCTTGAGACGAGACTTCTACAAGGGAAGAGGTTTGTTTGATCCATTTGAAAGACTAGAAAACGCTTATCACTCAATAGTTCTCTGCCCCCATGTAAACCAAAATCTCCAAAGCTTAATTTTACATTGAACCAATTATCTCAATTAATAGTCCGAATTAATAATAGCGAAGAAACCCTAGAAATCTCTGAGAGAACCAATTACCTAATGCTCCGAGCTTGCCCATCGTGTAGATTGAGGGCCTGATTGATAAAGGGCACAGAAGCCCAAATTTTGCACCTTTGTGGATGGAGAGAGGGTAGAATTGAAGGAGGTGAGAGAGAGGGTTCAGATCTACAGATAAAAGGGGGAGGGACAAAGGGCTCTTGCTGGAAAACTTGAGATTCGATGTAAATTTGCTGGATAAACTTAAAGATTCGATCATGGTGCAAAGAGAGCAGAACTCCCTATAGAGCAGTGACTTTCTATATATAT